TTTTTTTTTGGCTTCATAATCTCCACAGTGCTGTCAGATTGAATAAAGCTGGTGGGAACTGTAGTTCAAACCAACAGGAGGGCAACCAGCTGTGGGCTGCTTGGCTCTACAAAAGGCAGGGACAGTCTTTGGGTTCACAGGACCATTTCCCCATTCCTAAGCCTATCACCAGAGGGCCATGCACGTTCCAGGGTCGGCATGCAAAAATGGGCTCCTGAGTTTAAAAACCGTCTGTGCACACAGCACGGAGACAACCCCGGTTTGGACAAACCAGAAGAGAACATCCTCGCCTTGCCTGTACCTGTCGTGGGATCAACTCAACCGTGTCTTCTCACAATGTATTACACTAAGTGTGTGTGTGTGTCATCGGTTAATTAATACCCAATTTCACTTATCCGGGGAGTATTTTCTTTGTACCCTTTTGTAGCTGTATTTCCAAAAAAATTAGCCTATTCTAATATTTCAGATTGTCTCTTTCACGCACGCCCCTTTGATGTGCAGGTCCCAGCCTCGCGGGGTTTACCTCCGGGTTCTTGTTCTTTCAGAGTAGACCTCCCACATCCACCAGTCGCAGTCTGGTACAAAAGGCGTACGCTCAAGAGAGTTAAATCATCCTGAGGACAGGAATTGTTTTCAATTGCCAACACCGAACGCAATGAACAACTCACATGAAAAAACCCACTCCAGATTATCCCATTATCTCCTTTGAGTGACATCATTTAGAACTTCAGTGCAATTCAGACAAAGGTTAATACAATATATACACATATGGTGTGCAGTATATACATATATACACATCTGTATATATACATATGTATTACACAGTATGGTAGTATAGGTTTGGTTCTAGTAGTTCAGAAAATAATTATTCTAAGCATTGGATCTGCGTATGGATGCTGTTTCATCTGAGCTTCTCAGGGCAAGCCAAAAGACCAGCTCTGAGTGGTGCTTAGAAAACATCAGTGGGGGAAAAAAATCTTACCTTTTTCCATATTCATTTTTTCCACAATCCTCAGTTTCATTTTATCCTCAGCATGAAGGAATTTGCAATGTTTGGTACATTCTTTGAAAATGTTTGGTGCATTCTTTGAAAAAGAACAAAGCCATATTGTACAGGTTTGCCATGTACGATTTAAAAATAAAAACTCTGTCAAAAACAAAGTGGTTTGTGGCAGTCTTAATGTAGCTCAAAGTGGATTGCTTATACCCAGAGCTTGCAAAAGTTACCTTTTTGGAACTACATTTCTCAGAATCAGCTGGGATTTGCCATAGTCAAAAAAAAAAAACACACACACACACACAAAAAACCCACACTTTTGCAATCTCTGCTTATACCTAGGTTTCAATACACAAAAGGTTTCTTACTCCTAGATCTGTGCTAGCAGAGACAGACATGCTTGATAGCCAACTTCCTCCTTTATTAGGAATAACACATGGAACCATCTGGGAGTGTAGCAAATCACCTCTTTTGCATTTCTACATGTGCCAGGAAACATACAGAAAACAGAACATAACGAGAGAACATGCAGGAGGATTTCGACATCAAGTATCAAATGGGGAAACTGGATTCCTCCATGACAAGACCTTAAAGATACATTCAATATTTATTTATTTATTTATTTGATTTGATTTATACCCCGTCTATCTGGACCGATGGACCAGCCTGGCCCAGTGGTTATTCCTTCATCATTTACTGCCTTCGGGAATCAAACAGATAGAATATTCTTGAGACGAAACTCATAGGAAAGATCCAGTTGTATCTGTGCAGCCTTGTGAACGAGGTTAAGCAGAGTATCTACAACGGGCCAAAGACCACACAGACAGCTGATGGGGGATTTGAATCCCTGCTGTATCTCACATTACCTGCACGGTCACTTACTGAAGGCAGAAGGGACAGGAATGGCGTGATGACCCCCATGTGACCTGTATCTCTGGCAATCATGGGCAACTGTGTCCCTCCACAAGTTTTTGGCCTACATTTCTACCCGTTGTAGCCCAAGGTCTAGACAGCCTAGCCAATATGGAGGGATTATGGGAACTGCAATCCAAAAACATCTGGAGGGACAAAGCAACCCATTCCTGGCCTCTGGTACTTCGATGAGTGGGAATTGCTAAGAACCAATGCCTGCTTCTTTGTCACAGACCACAAATTGGCCTCCAAAATGGCGACCTGGCTTGGTCCTCGTGGGTCTAACCCAATCTGCTCTAGAGCGATTCCTCGGTGGGGTCAATGCCCAACTCTTTTGGAGAGTGTCCCTGCTACAGAGAAGGTCCATCTCTGAAAGATCTCTCTGGCGACAGGCATCAGACCTTTTCCCCCTTGCTCATTTCCCCAACATGGGAGCATTGCCATCAGCCTCAAACAAGAGTTGGTCCACCTGGCCTTCCGTGTGCTAAGAACTGCCTTTGAAGCCAGGTCTCTCTCTGTTTTGGCTCACACCATGGACTCCTTGACTGCCTTCTGAGCCTGCTGGCAACCGTAGAGCCATTTAATGACACGGGCATTTCTCTCAATCACGGAGACTGAGGTGGGCAGCTTCTCGCTCAGCTCTTCACCAGCAAGCTCCTCGTCGTTCTGAGAGGGATGGTCGTGCTCAGAACTGGCCGCCCTGACACTTCCCAGGAGCAGACAGGAAGAGCCGGCTTCCCAGCTGCCTGGCTTGAACTGTTCCACCCCCAGCACCTCCACCAGGTTGCGATCCAAGCCACAGTAGTTAAAAAAACGCTCTTTCTCCGAGAGAGGGAGAGAACAACTCAGGACGAGCGGCCTCTTGGAATCCGTTGGACCAGGATTCAGGGAGGTGGGGATAGGGTCCGTATCCAGTTCAGCGCTGGACCCAGGTTTCTGATCCTGTGCCGAAACACATTCCGAGGAGCTGGCTGGCAAGCCAACCAAATGCAGAGTCCTCGTCTCTTCCTTTTCTGCTTGCACCCAGACCATGGAGTTCTCCTCTGGTGTGTCTTGAAATGGTCCATCTCCCGAGGCATCCCTGGAAGATGGATGGCTATGTCCATCTCTCGGGGGACTCTGGAACAACTGCCTCACTAGGCCATAGCCCTTCGTGTTCTCTTTGTTGACAGCCAAGGAATCCCACTTCTGCCGGTAGATGACCAGCGAATCCGGTCTCAGCATGCGCCGGCCGCCCCCTCTCCGTGCTGTGGGCGACTGTGGAGAAGGCAAGGTCTTCTTTGGCCCGAGGGCTTCGTGGCCTACAGGCAAGCCTTGGGAGAAGCCACCATGGTAGTGGAGAGTCAGTGGTCTCCTGCAGCAAGGGGAAGCCTGGAGGGCAGGGCAGAGCAAGACGGGTTCCTGGCGACGGTTGATCACTTGCTGGGACTTGACGTATTTGGCTTTGTCAGCTTCCAGTCTTTCCACCGCACTCGGGGTTTGTCCTCTGCTGGTCCCTTCCAGCTGTTTACGGAGATAATCCGGCCCTCGGTTGAGCAGTCCGAGAGGGGAAGGCCCATCTCCGGGAGGCAGAGGCCTCATTTTATATCCACAGTTTGGGTTTCAGTAGCAGAATACTGTATGGCTTTCCAGGCTGATGGAGAAGGGCAGTCACATTAAATGGGAAAAGACTTTACACCATCAAAGAACCACTAAGATCTCAAGAGCGTTGGCCAACGTTACCCCTGAACAAGCTTGTTTTAAACTAGGTTCGGATTCCCTGGTTTTATCACTCAAGATGCTGGCTAGTCCTTCAGAATCCACAGTATGGACACCTTTGGAAGGTCTGTAAACATTCTTTCCATGACATGTCGTTAAAGTCCATCCACACCACCAAAAGAAGCGGTTTCTCTTTCAGAGACCACTTTGACAGCCAACAGGTCAGATGTAGTCCTGGAACCAAAGAACGCAGTGTTTTGATTAAACACAACAAACTCATAGTAATATTTATGATGAGGAAATGAAATGTGAAAGATGAGAATTCAGATAAGCAGTCATCACACCACAAATAGAGAGGAATCATTTTTTTTAAGCATGCAATTTCTTGGATAGTTTGTCACACCCCAGAATACATGACAGACACAGGAAATTGCTCCATTCTCACTCGGCTACGTGGAATGAGTAAGTAAGTGTCTTGGAAAGAAATCCAACATCAGTCAATGGGTTGTGCATCTGTTCAAGGTTATATTGCCCAAAATCCTACTGCCTAGTTAGGCTGGCAGGAGTGGCATAATTCAAGCAGCAAATCGCTGCTAATATCCCCGCTCGGATTCTTTGTTGTGTGCCAGTCTGGTTGGTTTGGTCTGTGACCTGGAACTGAAGCATGGACTCCTTAATTAGCAGCAATTTGCCACTAGAAGTCATACCATTTTCCTTCCACCAGCATAACTACACAACAGGATATTGGTCACTGTGTTTGAACATCCTTCTGTGTCTCTCAGATTAGTAAATCTCTCTGCTGCTCCTGAGGGTAGGGCCTGAAACAACCAGTATAGGACAGTGACCCAAAGTGCCTCGGATGATGGTGACATCTCCTTAATGATTTTTAAGCAGAGATTGGATTGCTGCTTAACAGAGAGATTGTGGCTGTTGACTATCTGCAGTGATGGGATGGGACTAGATGACCTTCAAGATACTTTCCAACTCTAGATACTTTACATTCTGTTCAAATTGTGGTGATTTGTTTTTCATTGTGGGCCAAACAGCCACATGGGTTTACACTGAGTCTTGGAAAGTGGCGAGATGGAGAGAGGGTTCTAACTTTTGCGGGAGCAGGTTTGAACCTCGGCGCTCCAATACGGGAAGACTTCACATTTGAAAACAACAGCAGAACACCTCCTTCAAGATGCCATTAAGGGCCAAGACGGACTCCGGACAGCAACACTTGAAGTGGTAAAGATCAAACCAGGAAAAGGAAACTCTGCCGCTGGGCATAGGGTCAAGTGGACGACATGATTTTTGTGTGCACTGAGATTCCAAAAGGAAGCAAAGCAGGAAAAAATAAGATCAGGCACGCTTATCTTTATGGCTCCAGCCATCCACAGAACAAAGCAAACTCCATCCAGCAAAAGAAACACCCAACCCTTCGCTACACCACGGGTGGTCAGTTGTAGAAGGGAAGCTACAGAAGCCGGTTGAGGAAACCAAGCCTCGGACAAGAAGAGGCTGGAAAAGCCACAGAGGATGCCATGGACTCTCCCTTCCATTTGGCTTGGAGTCAGTTTCTGGCTCACACTGGTCTGCGGCGTTCATTTCCTTTTCGGAAAGGAACGCCAAGCAACTGGGCAGATTTTTCTGAACAGAGCTGACCAGCTTTTGATCTCGGAGCCAGAGGCCAGGGAACGGGATCAAAAACAGGGTGGGTGACCGATGAAACTTGACAGGCACGGTCTGGCAGAAGCTGGCGTCCTGTCGGCTGAGCCAGGCAGAACCTGGAGATGAGTAGCTTTTCGGACTGCACAGGACTCCTGACTGAAGGTCTAGCGAACAATGTACAATGGGAGGCGGGCCACCAGAGCTCGAAAGAGGTTCAGTATGCTGCCATCCCATCTAGGGAGCTATCAGAACCACATCTTGAAACTTCTTTCTACCAAGGAAGTTTTCCAAAGCTCTGTTCCAGCAGTTCCCAGCCTTGAGTCCCCAGATGTTCTTGGACTAAAACTCCCAGAAGGCGTCAGCCCCAGCTGTGCTGGGCAGGATTTCTGGGAATTGCAGTCTGATAATATCTGGGGACCCACGGCTGGGAACCACTGTTTCTAGTCTTTGAAGAGGTCGCCACGTTAGCCTGTGCTGGCACATCGGGCAAAACCAAAAGAACATAAAAGGTGGCAGAAGAAGTTGTGGCACCTTCGAGACTAACTGCCGTATCTTTAATGTGAGCTTTCACGGACAAATCCACTTCTTCGGGCATACGAATGGGACTACATGGCAAATATCAATATAAATGGAGACATATTTGCCATGTAGTTCCACATGTATGTCTGAAGAAGTGGATTTGTCCACAAAAGCTCACATTAAAGATATAGCAGTTAGTCTTGAAGGTGCCACATCATTTTTTAAAAACTTTTCTATTGGTTTTGCCTAATATGCTTCTAGCCTATAGCTGCCCTCCCAGGCTACTCATTGGCTCCTCTTGAGGAGTGTTCCCCTCAAATTAATATTGTAAAACCTGAAATTTAAATTTGCCTCTCCCCCTTTTTTCAATTTGGAGGACCCTCATAAGTCTGATAATATCTGGGGACCCACGGCTGGGAACCACTGCTTCTAGTCTTTGAAGAGGTCGCCACGTTAGCCTGTGCTGGCACATCGGGCAAAACCAAAAGAACATAAAAGGTGGCAGAAGAAGTTGTGGCACCTTCGAGACTAACTGCCGTATCTTTAATGTGAGCTTTCGCGGACAAATCCACTTCTTCGGACATACAAATGGGACTACATGGCAAATATCAATATAAATGGATACATATTTGCCATGTAGTTCCACATATATGTCTGAAGAAGTGGATTTGTCCACAAAAGCTCACATTAAAGATATAGCAGTTAGTCTTGAAGGTGCCACATCATTTTTTAAAAACTTTTCTATTGGTTTTGCCTAATATGCTTCTAGCCTATAGCTGCCCTCCCAGGCTACTCATTGGCTCCTCTTGAGGAGTGTTCCCCTCAAATTAATATTGTAAAACCTGAAATTTAAATTTGCCTCTCCCCCTTTTTTCAATTTGGAGGACCCTCATAATTCCAGTGTGGTGTAGTAGATAGGACTATGGAGAAAACTAGATGCATCCATTCATTCAGGCCCAAGCCTTTCTAGATACAGTAGTACTTCCAGAATCCCAAAACACTCCATAAATAAAACAAATTATACCCTCTCTGTGTGCCTCGTTTTACCTCCCTTCAGATTTTAGGCCGTAACACCCCCTCTTTTTAAAAACCAGAAGTGTTTTTAAAAACAAGTTGTTGACTTCCAGTTTCTAAAAAAGGTAAACCACATCCAGAGGAAGTTTAAAAAAAAAACAATAACACTCAAGTTTCCAAGGGAAATCTTGCACCTCATGGTGTGATTTACATTTTTTGCTCCCCTTTTCCCCCAGGGTATTTGGGATGGGGATGAAAGTGTAGCTTACATAGCTTGTGGGAAAATCCAGAGTTAAGAAAGATAGACCTTGAGGTGACACAAACAGACTGTGACAAATGCAGATGTAATTCCTTCAAACCGCCTGGTGCCTTGATACTTCTTTTAGGCTGAATAAAGCCTGGGTCTTTTTTTTTAAAAAGCAGGTAAATACAGAACTGTGCTACCCTGGATAACAAAACAAACCTGCAACAACAACAAAAAGAGGTTCAACAGGCAAGGCAACCTTTAACATTGCCTGGCTCATCATTCTTTGCTTTCAAGAAGATAGTCATGGAAGTCCATCATAGCAATTGACCACCATGCAGTTTGTTCATTTATCCTTCCATCATTCATTGCCTGTTAAGGGCCAAGGAGACAGGAATAGGTCAAAGAAGGGTTGACAATGTGAGAGGAAACTGAATCCAACAGGAGGGTGGAAAAATCACAGATCCATCCATCCATCCATCCATCCAGCCAGCCAGCCAGCCAGCCAGCCATCTCCCCCTCCCTCCCTCCCTCCATCCGTCCATCCATCCATCCATCCATCGCTAGACACAAATGGACCAGCGACATGACATTTGCTAAGAAGCCTAGGGCAGAGCTAGGAAAAGGTCACTTCTTTTGGACTACAACTCCCATGCTCCTTCAGCCAGCACGAGCCACAGGACAGTCCTCTTGTAAAGGCGGACACTTGTCCAGGCTAGCTTTTCCCCACAGCCTCTGCAGGGAGATTGGGCACATGTCCAGAGACTTGAGATAGCCACCAGATAAAATAAATGCCCAGCCCTTGCCCAGTCAGTGCTCGCCTGTCTTGCCACAAATTACTGGCCCTGCTGCCAAGAGGCCAGGGCTCCCACATCATTCCTGCTGCTCTGTCTTTTTTAGGCTGCAGACCAGCCATTCCCGGCATTGCTTGCGACCCACCCAGCCGCTGACTGCCTCCTCTCCTTTTATGCTCCCGTTTGCCTCATGTGCACCCAGTTTGGTACCAGAAAAACTCACACAAACACAATGAAGATATCATGAGTAATAGCAGAAAGCATGCAGGTTTCTCACTACCAAACAAGGCAGAGCAAGACCCAGGAAATACACTAATACTCAAGAGTTTTGGCTAAATTACTTTTTGGGACTCCGAGTCCCAGATGCGCACATGAGCATGGTCGTAGGATGTGCTGGATAGAGGATTCAAGGAGCTGGAGACCCAGAAAGTCATTTTTTAAAAGTTCAGCTATTCTCCACATAACCCTCCCAAATCATCTTCTACCTCGTGTATCCTAACAACTTCCCCTCTCTTATCTTTGCAAACAATGAAATTTGGCTGGGATCTCTGACTATTTGTGCATAAGGTCACCTTAAGGAACGTAGAGATCTGTAAATCTCAAAGTCATTGAGGGCCTCTGATTTCCCCATCAAAGGTAATTCCGATTATCAAAGTGAATGAGATATTTAAGAAATGTTTTAACATTTCCCCTTCCCCCACACGTGAATGTCCATGGCCAAGAATGGATTTGAACCCAGATCTGCTCAGTAGGCCACACCGGGTGGTCGTTACCGGTTAAATGTGGCTATAAAAGAAAACCCAGGTTTCGTGCAACTTCTAATACTGCAAATAATGTCATGTCTCTTTTGTCCGTAAGTTAACTCAGTGAGTTACATATCTAGCTGAAAAGCCAGAGGCTGGGGGTTCAATCCCCTGCTGCGAATCCCAAAACAGCAGGTTTGTGTGGCCATGGGCAAGCTGCACAATCCCGGGGCACCCCCCCTCCAGTACTGCCTCTGAGTACTTTCTACCTAGAAAACCCTGTAGTTCCTGCCAAAGTACCTTTTCCAACTTTTGTGACGCTAATGCGTTTGCTGCTCACTCGTTCACCAAACTTAGGGACGGGATGGGTGAGGGCAGCCAGAGAATTGCTTCAGATCTGGAGACTTGCCAGCTGTAATTCCTGCCAAAGTACCTTTTTCCACTTTTGTGACGCTGATGCATTTGCTGCTCACTCGTTCACCAAACATAGGGATGGGATGGGTGAGGGCAGTCCGAGAATTGCTTCAGATCTGGAGACTTGCCAACTCTCACCCAGAGTAGACAGCGCCAGTGATCCAATTCTGTCCGTGAGGGTTTCCTACAGAGCACTCTCTATCCTTGGCAAAGTTCTGGCAGAGGCTGTTGCTGATGCCAACTCAAGACTCCCCCCCCCCTCATTTTAATCTCTTAAATTAAGATCCAGGAAGGAAGAATTGGATGAAAGCAAAGCACAAAATCTTCTGTGACCCTAATTAAATTCCTTGTCACATGTGCATAAGCCACAAATCTATAAGTGGAATTTTTAGCATGTACACATTACTGAAACAGCAACATCTACGTTGGCTCGGGCATGTCGTGAGAATGGCTGATGGTCGGATTCCAAAAGATCTCCTGTATGGAGAATTAGTGCAGGGAAAGCGCCCCAGAGGGAGACCACAGCTGCGATACAAGGAGATCTCCAAGTGGGATCTGAAAGCCTTAGGAAGGGATCTCAACAGATGGGAAACCCTGACATCTGAGCGTTCAGCCTGGAGGCAGGTGGTACAGTATGGCCTCTCCCAATTTGAAGAGACCCTTGTCCAGCAGGCTGAGGCAAAGAGGCAGTCCTGAAAAGAGCAAAATCAGGGAGCTGGACAGGGGACAGATTGTCTTTGTCTTCAATGTGGAAGGGATGGTCACTCTTGGCCTTCTCAGCCACACTAGACGCTGTTCCAAGTCCTCCATACAGAGCACGATAGCATAGTCTCTTGAGACCGAAGGATGCCTAATCTAGTCTCCTAGAGAGTCTGTAAAACAAGAGTCCTGTGGAGGCACTCAAGATATTCCTACATGGAATCTGACATTATCTCCATGCAATGTCAGAGAGCTGCATTTGGTTTCCCATAATGCATCTAACTGAGCACCCCTTGGGGGCATTATGGGAAATTTTAAAACGTGTCCAGACTCGGATACATCAAGCACTGCTTCTGTAGCCAAGAGGCAATATTGCCAAAGCCCGTAAAGCAAAACTGACCCCACAGAGAGCCTTAGGCACAGCGCCTTCTCCTTGGGGGGGCAGTAACAAGCCTGGGTTCCCAAAAGCATGCGCTCCAAAATACAGTGCATGAGTGGCATAACTGTATGAGTGAGACAAATACACATTAGGAAATGAAGATTGCAAACGGCCCCACCCGGGCGTGCTAAAGCCTCGTGGCCTGCCTCAGACTAGGGTAGGAGAAGTTACTTTTTACTGGACTGTTCCTCCCAGAACCCCACAGCCACACGAAGCCCAGTGGATCTGGGAAGTTTGTTTGAAGGTTTCACGTAGACCAGAGGATGGAAAAGTAGTTTATGGGTTGTTGGCTTTTTTGAGGGACGAGAACTACAGGCTCCTCATCCAGCAGAGCCGGTGGCCTTACTGGGCAGAGGTTGGGGATGTTGTAAATGGAAGGTGCAACTTTTAGCAAGCTTCCCCCGCCCCGACAAGACACAGAAGGATGCTAGGAGAAGATCTCTGCCCGAGTCCTCACAAGGCTCAGGCTGCTGGCTTTCCCTTGGGAGATCTCTTCCAGGCTGCAAAACAAACCGCCCATTGCAGCTGAACTTTTTGCCTCTTGCATTCACAGTTATAAATAAGCATCCCTGGGGCAAGCCATCACCCTTCTCCATGGGTCACACCCTCCCAAAGAGGGATTTTAACAACAGGGCAGCTGTGGCCAAATGGGATCCCTACGTGCAGAACCCAAACGTGAGGCTGGCGGGAGAAGGCTCCCCCCCCAAAAAAAACCCACACAGCAGAGCCTGCAGGCTGTGAACTGTGGGGTAAACATCCTTCGCTTTGGAGTTTGGGTTCAGGAGCCCTGAAACTTTTGGGACTTTAAAGTTAAACCTATTGTTTTGGAGCTCTCTGCGAGAACTTGGTGCAGAGCCCGAGGAAGGTGAATTAGAAAGCTCACTCAATTTTCCATTATTTATTTTATTGTTTTAATGGTCCAACAGAGGTATCACATAGTCCTGCATGTGGATTGTTTCAAGGACCACACCGCCTTGTCTTGATTTTTTTTTTCTGGATTCTAGAAGGACAGGAAATCAAATGGGGGTAGGAGACCTTGTGCGGCAGTTTATAGGGTGGCAGATATAACACGGGTGTTATCAAGATAAAATAAGAAGGTCTTGCGCCACCTCTAAGACCGAGAGATTTATTTCAGCAGAAGTTTTAATGTATTGCAGTCCTTTTTGCCCCATATGTTAGACAGAAATCCTCAGGATTATGAATGGGGGAGGTCAATGCCTGGGCATTATGAGAGTCTTGCCCCTATTCTACCCTATGTGTAGGACTACAGTCCCCATCATCCTTCTGAAACACAGATGAAGATAATAGGGAATGGTGTCTGTTACCTCTAGAGAACAGTCACGTTGACGAAGCACAAGTATGGGGCACAGACTTTCTTTCCCAACTCCCTGATCGCCTAGAGCCAGAACATATAACTCACCACAATCACAAGTTCATCACAGAGAGAAAGAGTCACAAACTACACCCACCCACTATTGAGAGACAGGTACCCCTTAGCAGCCCCCAAAAAAGCACCTCTTAGCGAGTGAGCATCCACTGCCATCCTGGATCTGGATTTCCTGGGATGGGGGGCAGAATAGACGGCCAACCGTCTACACGGCATCTTTCCGCAACCTGGTATCCTCCAGATGCATGGGACTAGAGGCAGTTGGGACTACCTCAAAGGAGACACTTACCTTCCAAACAGATGACAGCCTAGCTGTTACGTTCAAGCAACAGCTTTTTCCTGGCCAGCGAAAGAGAAGGGAAGCCACACTGAACTCAGCACCACCGCCTGCAGACTGTCTGGCTGATATATGCAAGCTGCCAGGACAGGAAGACACAATAATCGCCTCCCTGCCTTTAACCCCTTCTGAACCAAGCTGCCCCCACGTGCAGCTGTTAAACCCTTCTGGGCCATGACATTTATCACCACCAAACTTCCCACTGCAGTGTCAACCCTATACTTTCATGCCCTTTTCAAAATGCATTTGTGTGACACAGACCTCCCAAGTGAGTTGGCGGGGGGGCATTCCCTTTACTTTCCACGTTTCCCTCGATTTTGATGTCAACTCCCTGGTCTACAGGAAGCTAAAAAGCCTTCCTTTCATTTGAGACCTGCAAACCTGGCTTTGCTGAAGTTCCCTTTTTTGACTACAGGTCCCAGAATCCCCTAGTCAACATGGCCACTGGCTGGGGAATTCGGAGAAGCACCACCCAAAAGTTTGACCAACTCTGCGGTGAATTAATGGGGTGGCTTTAACCAAGCTATCGTCTCCTGCCTCCATCCCAGGATCTGAGATAACACAGAGTTGCTCCAGGGTCCCTTGTTATAAGGTAAAGTGCTCTGAATACTTCCAAGCACACCATACTATTCTGCTGGGCATCAAACATGCATGGTGAGTGTCAACAGAAAAATTGTTTTTAGCCAACTCAAAGGCAGCAGCCCACCTTCCCCTGAGGGAGCTATATGGTGAGTATCCATGAACTATAAGGTGGGGGGGGACACACACACAAAAGTCAGCTTTGGAATGGAGTAGCTGGAAAGAAAGGCTATACAGACCGGCTGGCTCCTTTAAAAGGTGTGTTGGTTTGAGACAAGATGTAGGTAAATGCTAAACACCATTAGAACTGATATTTGCTATTGAAACATCTGTCTTCATTGAGGGCTCTGGCAAATATCAGCTCCAGTTGGGCCTTCCTTAATTTGAAAATAAAATGAAAGAAACAGGACATCCTAGCACTGTCCAGACACAATGCAACTCCCTTCTGCAAGGCTCATGTTCAGCAAGATAATTAACAATATTTTTAATGGTTGGTGTGTGCTTTGGCAATTAATACAGGAGTGCAGAAGTGCACAGGGGGCCACTGCTACATGGGAAATCCTTGGGATTGTCGTCCAAAAATAGAAACCAGCATGTCTAGTAACTAGTGACTTCTCAAGTTATGCTCGATACCGCTTTGTAAGCAGTTTTTTAGAAGCAGAACCATAAATGAATATGAAACAAAGCAGACAGCACCAGGTTCTGCTGATAGACCCAGAAGGAACACCCATGAAATTCAATTCATTACTCATTGAATGAACAGAAATGTGAACAGGCATTCAACCAAAAAGGGAACACGAAAGTTTCATTCATCCAAGTACGTAAGAACCATGAAGTCTTCAATGAAAGGCGTACATCTAAACCAGCAGCAACAAAGCGAATGTAAAATTAAAGGGAACACCAGTTGAATTTCTGGAAGGGTAAGAGCTAACCCAGTTAAAGGCTTTCCAGACCAGGTTTCGGTTGTGCAATCATCCAGCCACCTTCTCAGGCTTGTTTCCAGCCAGATCAGAGCTTGCAAGTAATTAGCAACAAGCAATATAGTTATGTGTAACTAGCTACTTTGGAGTAATAAATCACATAATGAATAGAAACAAAGTTACTTCTGGGTATGATGAGTAAGGCCTAAGTTACTTAGGTTACTAACATGAGTTACTAATAAGTAATGCCTAGCTTTGGGTGCAATCAAAGGAAAGGAAACATGAGTTACTAATAAGTAACACCTAGCTTTGGGTGCAATCAAAGGAAAGGATAGTGCGGGGCTGCCTGGAAAGAACAACACCTATTTGGAAGGCATCGTTAATATGAGACCAAAAACTTTTTATATTTCCCTATGCTTTTAATTGTATTTATCGCATTGTAATTTTTATCCTCACTGCACTTTATGATGTTTGATTTTCGCCCCTATGTATGGATGTTGTTGTTTGCTATTTCGTTCCTTTGTTGTTTTATGTTATTATTTGTTGTAAACCACCCAGAGTGGCCGGGCTGCCCAGATGGATGGTACGTAAATAAAATAAAATAAAATCAGAAGCCCTGTGTTATTTGTTGTAAACCACCCAGAGTGTCCTGGGCTGCCCAGATGGATGGTACATAAATAAAATAAAATAAAATCAGAAGCCCTATGTTATTATTTGTTGTAAACCACCCAGAGTGGCCGGGCTGCCCAGATGGATGGTACGTAAATAAAATAAAATAAAATCAGAAGCCCTGACAAGTAGTATCCTTCTTATGGCATTAATCTTTGTGGCCCAGAGTTCTTCTACTCCCAGTATTTGCACAGATTTAGCAGCCGCCCCTGGACTGACTGACACTCGCAGGGTTAACAGCTGGAACCTGCTTCTCCCCACACCCCCCAGGGCAAGAGGAAGTTTTGGTCATACTCTTTCCTGGGGAGATTTAAATTGCCGGAAGCTACAGCAGAAGCCACAGCAACGCGGAAGGTTATTTTTGTGGCTGATCTCTGAACTGCCCAGAAAGTTGTTTCTTTTCTTAGCAGAAGCCCACCCACATATAACATTGATCTTCCCTGACAGCCAGATGGTGACCTGCTTTGAAAATAACCAGAGCCCTGGAAGAGTTCCTTTCCGGGAACTGAAGCATCAAAAAAGTAACTTCTCCACACCCTGTAAATAACAAACTAGTCGTGAAATCAGAAAGAGTCACTGAAACAGAGAGAAAAGTTATGAAATCTGCACTCTAGAAGCCGAACTGGGGAAAGCTAATGCTTTGGACTACAACACCCAGAATCCCCTCCACCTAGGAGGATTCTGGGAACTGTTGTGCACAGACGTATGCCGCTCAGAGACCACTGGTCATGGCGTGGCTAAAAAAAAAAATCTTGTAAATAAAATAAGTAACATTTGCAAGGTCATTTCAGAGGCCAGCGCTTATTGGATTCTCAGTGATAAATGTCCTTCAGTGACATCCCCTTCGAGAATTACATTTGAATTCCTGCTCACAGGATTAGCAAATGTAAAGAAATTGCTTCGCATGCAAAGATTTTTAACGCAGGTCAGCATCCCAAAGGATGGCTTTCCCGCTGGAAGAGTCCTTGTTCATTATCTTATCTCTCCAAAGCGGAAGATTCCAGAAGGCCTATATTGAAAGAGCAATACAGGGTGGGAGATCTTGATTTAAAAAAGAAGAAGAAGAAGAAACATTGCATGACAGAGAGAGATGTTGCCTTGTAGTTTCATCTGTCCAGATAAAAAGGCCAAAGGGTTGGGAAAATAACCTGCGGCCGTCTCCGCAAGAGCATCAACAGCACGTTCCTTGAGAGTGGACTTGGGACTTGGTATGTACCAAAGACTTGGGACTTGAACTCAAAGACTGCCAGCCTCCCTGTTATTTGGAGATCAGGGGACTTACAGGAACACCTACATCCAAGGTGTCACACAACACACGTTCTTGTCCACAAACGGTGAAAGGCACAAACGCCTTCTCACATGCCAGGCGAGTCCCAGCGACCTTTGTTCGAACGGCAAAGATTAGGAGAAGTTACTTTTTCTTTGGCCACGCTAGCCAAGGGGAGTCCGGGTGCAATCGCTCAAAAAGGAACTTTTGTCGGGGGGAAAAGAGATGAAGAGAGAAACCGAATTTGCACCATTCGCTGCTGCAGAGGGAACGAAGGAGGATAAAACTTCTCTTCTAAAAAAATTAATTCTTTCCACCGCCATATGGCACTGCTGGAAACGAAATGAAGCTGGTGATAGACTGGAATCCTCTACATCAAGATGACATCAAATCATCCAAGGATGTCATCATCCGTGATGGCCCCGTGTCTTGTCTTCTATACAAGACAGGACACGGGGCCACCTATCTAGCCACCCTATTTAAAGGGCCATCTAAGGATCTGCCTGAAGCTGTTTTAAGAGGGTGAGTCTGTTTTAATGTTGAAAGGCCATCCAGAGGGGGGAAAAAGAGGACCCTTAAAGCTGCCGGTCAGCATTTGGCACCTGGACAGCAGGGACCCGGGTCTCCTCATCATGGTCTTCCAGCCTCAGGTGAGATGGATGGTGATTCCCTCTAAATAAGAAAAATTATTTTGTTCCTGTGCATTTCAGCACATGCCGTTTTACATATGTCAGGTGATGCCCTGGTCAGTCCTCTGATCTGGTGGTATGGATGCGGTCACCCTAACTTTGAGACTTCCAAAGTCCCTCTGGAGGCAACCCTAGGAATAGAACAAAGGTAGGACAACGCTAACGTAGACAGATCATCTGGACTGGGGTGGGGAAAATTGCAGTAAATTCTTTCACACCTCGATTTCCTTCCGAGTAGCTACTTCTCTGTGCAATAGCCATTTAAAAACACACACACACACACACAGTTTCACACCTCGATTTCCTTTCGAGTAGCTACTTCCCTGTGCAATAGCCATTTAAAAAAAAAACACACACACAACCACCATGGAGGAATAAATTCATGGATGGGGGAAGTGAGGCTTTTTGGAGAAGTGCAGCAAATAATTTTTGGGAAGTGAGGACGCTGGAAATGGAAAACCATGGAAAAGTAAACATGGATTTAAAATAGCCAGACTCTGCTCCCTCCTTCAGAGTGAATCATCAGCCTCCGGCGCTGTTGTTGTTTGATTCTGTTTTTTAGGACAGAAAAGGTCTGAGAGGCAATGTGAGTAACAAGCAACAGGGGAGTGGATGAACTTCCTCCAAAGGGCGCCCGAGGAACATGGCTTAGCTAGTGGCCTCTGGATCAATAAATAAGATTCTTGTCATTAAAGAGGAACCTTCCTGGATTTAAAACACTAAAGCAGTAAACATTAAATATGTGATTAAAATAGTTTTAATTAAAAATAAAACAAGTACGGGTTTATATTATGGAAAAGAATTGAGAAATCATATATTAATAATTTTAGAACTGCTGTGCTGGAAGGGAGCCTGTAGATCATCCGGTCCATCCCCTCTCAAGGAGGCCCAGTGGGAGAATCAGAACTCCCAACCTCTTGCCTAAACCATGAACCT